GGGGGGGAAGTAAAAGAAAGAAAGAATGAAAGAGGAAAACAATACGCCCCCCCCCTCCAAGAACCCACCACCTCTTTGGCTCTTCCATCGAGGCGGTCATCCTTCATTTCTTCTTTTCTTGCTTTCTGGAAGCAGTTAGGGAATGTATGATGAAGCAGAAATGAGCCGTCAGGATGATATTTTAATGGCTTATATGTCACGTTGGTGCATGTGGCTTTGAACTGGAGCAGCTTTCGTTTCCTGCAGAGAGCGCGCCGCAAATCCCACTTGATAACTTCTACAACCCACAACATATTTTTTTTTTTTTTTTTTTTTTCCATTCACTCTTACACTGTATATTTAGATACGCTTCCTAAAAATATCCTCTCGTATATTTTGCACCGACCTGGAATGATCACTGGGTTCCCCCTGCCCTGGGAGGCAGGCTAGCACTGGGCTACCTAACTTTCCGCATCTCCTAATGCCATCGCCCTCAAGACTTCACAATAGCACTGACAACTCTGTCCTCTGCTTAATTTTAGTACCAAACACAAAGGTAGTGTCACAGGCGCCTCAAGACCACGTCCACACACAGGCGCTCTCCTAGAGCGGGTATACCTGTTGCTATAAGCTCTTGCAGTTCCTTCTAATGGATTTGGCAGAATAAATGCAAACGTGTGGATTCAGCTCAGCGTTATTCCGAAAAAGAAAAAAAAAAACCCACCAAAAAAGCCCCAAACCCAATCCCAACCGGTAAAGCCTCCCAAGATCCAAGGGAAATTACATAATACATCTGCTTTGAAAGCGATCTCCATGCTCCGAGCGCAGGCAAACTGCGTCTGCAGATAAACTGCAGCGAAACATTCCTTCAAAGCGTATCAAAGTTTATTTGTTGTTTGTTTGTTTGCCTGCTTGTTTGTTTTCTAGGCGGAATGGCCGTTTTCGTGCCTCTGGAAAGGAGGCGGTTGTGAGCCGAGAAGTGCTGGCGCAGCAGCGCGGCTGCCCTGACCGCCCGGTACCTGCGCGGCGGATGGCTTACCAGCGCCTGCAATTAGAGGGGATGAGTTTAAAGTTTCTTTGTTTGGCACTAGGAATTGGAGGGGCTCGGATTGAGCTGCGAAGGGGGCGAGTGAAGGGCTGAACAAAGGCGAAATGGAAGGAGTCCGACTCTCAGCGAGCTTTTGGTGTTTTCGTTACTAGAAAATAATTAGAGCTAATGAATATGCAGGCGACTGACTAAATAAATAATTTGCCAGTTTTATATGTGTGCGCGCACACATGGGCGCATACGTAAGTGTATAGATGCACACACACACAAAGGCAGCTATATTTTAAAGTTTCACGAGATTTTTTTTTTTTTAGTGCCGAAGCATCGTTTAAAATATTGTACAAATGTTGCTTAGCTTAATTGATTAAACCACAAAGGTTTTCTGCTTTTAAATACCATACTTATACCTTTCAACAATCATTTTAATATATAGTCAATGGCTCTTTGTAGCGAGAACAAAAAAGAACTATCCGCAGTTTTTCAATAGACTTTGAGCTGGGGAAAGACAGGTTAATCGAGGGTTGCATCTAGAAAACAACCAAGTGTTGTATGTTTGCACTGAATCCAAATGTGTGCATTTTTCTAACTAAATCAAAGGGAGTGTTATTTCTTTTTCTGCTCACTCATCTGAAGGTAAGTAAATTTTCTCTGGCGATCAAAAGCCTGGTCAGCAACAAAGACACCGCCTGCTTTTTCCACCGTCCTGGTGTGGCAAGTTGAGGAATTTCAATAACTGTGACAAGGGTGACTGATTTGTGAACTAGAAAAGGTTTGAATGTCAGAAAATTTACATTGCTCCTATCGAGGATTTAAAATAAATTTTTACAAAAAAAAAAAAAAAAAGGAGATAGAAGAAGTATCCAGGAGTTTCATGCAGCAGGAGGAGAAACAATGTAGGTTTGGGAAATTTACAGTTTTACCTGAATGAAAGAGACCCCGTAAAAAGAGAGAGCGAGAGAAAGGGAGAGCGAGAGAGAAAGAAGAAAGAAAATAACAAAAAAGAGGCGAAACAGCAACAACAAAAGTAGAAAGTTAAGAGTTCTCACCCACCTGCGTTTTGATGGGTGCAGAAAACAAGATTTATTTCAGAAATCTGATGGAGGGATAGAGTCAGCTACCCAGAGTAATCACGCCTGGTGTTTAAAAATAAAATCAAATGCACCCAGCACCTACTCTCGGAGAGCTTCAGTTTTAAACAAGCGGAAAATAACAACTTCAAAAGAAGCGAGCCCCTACAGGACTTCTCTTTTCAAAGCCTAAAAAGTTGCTCGGTGATCTTAAAAATTCCGGATCACCAAGAAATCATCATTACCATCATTATCAGAGTGCTGGAGAGAGAGAGGGGGACAGACAGAGGGAGAAAACAACCCTAATAATAATAATAATAATAATAATCAAAGATATTAATTTTTTTTTTTTTTTGCCTTAGCACACATACACACAAAAAGATGCGCTGGAAAAGATTTTCGGGGAGGGGAGGAGAAAAAAAAAAAAAAAAGGCTTTATATATTAAAAAAAAAAAAAAATTGGGCCTGGCGCAAGCCC